ATATAGCGCCATCTTGGATTTGGAAAACAATAGCGTCCATTGTTCTCCAAACAATAGCCTATTGTCTTTCTCGGCTCCTGATTGGTTACCGGTCATATAAGCGTCCTATACTACTGAGACTAAATTTTCCCTAGCGACGGCTCAAAAAGATCGGTTACTTGGCCCTTAAAATAAAGTAATTTTCATTGCTATCATACACGAACAGCTATTCTCTTAAAAGGCACATTTCGTGCTGGCATATACAACGTAATATACGAGACCCGCATATACGCGCATTTTAGCACGCGTATATATGGGTCCTTGTAGGACGCGTATATTTGGGCGTTTATTGCACATATCCCCGCGCTTGACTTTACGCAAATATGTGGCCCTTTAAAAATGCGTATATACGCGATCTAAGTGGTGGTATCTATGAGCTTAAAGCCCATACGTAACGTATGTAAACAAGTATACGCGGCAGAAAAACCCGCGTATACCCTGTTGTAATTTTGAAACGAATGGCCAACCATACATCGCGAGAATATCAACGTGTTAGAAAAGTTAAGCCGTTGACTAGATGACAATTATCGTAGCTATTAAAACAATATTACAACACTGTATGGAGCAAGACGCTTCGTTCAGCCAAAATGGAGACTGCAGACTCCAGACCGGGTACAAAATGCAGACTGCAGATTGCAAACTATGTACAAAATGCAGACTGAGAATACTGTTTTTTCGCCAATACATGATACCATGTCATTTTATAACTTACCAAGTGTCACGCAATCGCTTTTCGCTTTTCGTCATCTTCGACGAAAATTTGTATTATTAGGGATTATCCTTGGCCCATTTCTTCATATATTTTGTTTGAAACAAAGCATCAAGGTCATGTTAGTTCTTAAATAGAATTTGAAGCTGTCATAGTCTCGCGTGCGAGGTCAGTAATAAGCAGTAAACCCAAATAACACGCAATTTGCCATTTCCACATCCCCCATAATACACCTTGTTGCGCCCCAAAATTCTGCATGAAATTTGTTTCCCATTCCTCCTGGGTATTACAGTCGTCCCAAGAGAAACTGAAGATAATGCTTATGCAAAATGTTGGGGGGCATACAAGGTGTATTATGGGGGATGTGGAAATGGCGAATATTCCATCCACACATGATCAATCAGTCAGTGTTCATTTTGTAGCCAAATGCAGACTCAGAGCCTGCGAGCAGGCTTTTCACGGGGTCAAGAAATCAGGAAATCAGAAATCTTAAAGCCAAGCTGTTCCTTCGTCTTGATATATTTTCAATGTTCAAGGGTTAACACACACTGATTGTAGTTAGGTAAAAGGTAAAGCCTGCATACAATCCAAGTGGCCCACCAGGCCGGAGCTGTATCCCGGCTTCTGTAGCATGAGGAGACTAGGAGTATTTCTTCTCCCCCCTGGATGGGATGTTAGTCCATCGCAGGGTTACCCCCAGTAAAGTGTCATGCCCAATAACACAACACAATGTCCCCTGCCAGGGCTCGAACCCGGACCGCTCGATCCGGTGACGACCGCACCTCCCACCACTCTAATTAGTTAACTAGTTACCAAACGGCAACAAGAAAAGTAAGCAAATGACCAGTCACGAAAACGACGCTTCGATTTTCCCGTAAGAATTCGCCGATTGTTGTTCATTTGTAGCGGAGCTCCCGCCGTCAAGCGGAGCCCCATACTCATAGAAACCCGTGAATCGCTTTTCTCGTGGTAAAAATGGTTAGCGGTATTGCTCGTGGGCGCGTACGCACGACGACAACGGCGACGTTGCACGACATGGCGGCTTTACTCCAGCTAATAGGACATGCGGCCTTAGTTAAGAGCATACATATTTGATATTGGACATCCATTCATGCTCAACAGGAAACTTTCGATATATTAAAATTCAGCTTGATAGTGAGGCTTAGAGGACACAAACAAAAGAAATGAATAAACATGACCATTTAATTTCCTTTGTTTGTCCTCCAGCCTCACTGCCAAGCTGAATTTCAATATATCGAAAGTGGTCAATTGACACCTGTCAAAACATGATGTCCGCTGACCAGTATCACGTGATTATCTTGCGGGCTCAAGTTTTGAAGTTAACCGCTGACCAAGTGCCGGCTTTCTTATTTGATCGCGGGCTCAAACCAGGTTAAATTATTGTAATCACGGCCGGGTTGTTCGGAACTGAGCCGGTTAACGCTAACCAAGGATTAAAAGTTAACCTAAGTATAAATTTTTCTTGTTAAAAAATGTTTTTCACTGCTTATGTTTGTGTAGTTTGAGATTATTCAAACTTAAAAGGCCAAACAGTATAAGCACAAAACCTCACCGCTAAGTAAAAAACTCAAATCAAAATTCTCGCTTATCCTCGGTTAGCTTAATCACGTTTTGATCAACCCGGCCCGGGGGCTGCACTTTTAGGCTTGGTTAAATCTATATATTATTCAAGACACATTGCACGTGTAGCAAACTTTTACATTCTTTAATTCTTTAATTTGCTATAGGATTCTTGTTCGCTTGAAATTTTCTTAGATAATATGTTCATCCCATTAATACGTGTTGTTATTTGTACTTAAAACTCGCGCGCTAAGTGTGAATACTACCAGGAAGACTATGGAGGCTTGAGAAAGAATATGGCTAAGAATAAGCCTCAATCTGGAAGTTGATCGCAGAAAACACTTGGTAAGTTGTAAAATGACATGTTACAACATGTTATCTCTTATTATGGACGAAAAAACAGTCTTCTTTCTCAGTCTGCGTTTTGAACCTAGTGTGCAGTCTGCATTTTGTACTGACTGGACGATGTAACTCATCCTCAGAGAAATTCACGATGAATTGTTAAGGTTTCTCGAAAGGTACAAAGCACTTTGTAATTGCAACTCGAAGGGTGATGATCCCTTAGAAGTAAACATAGGATATAGATTAATCACACAGCAACCCATTGCGCGAGGAACATGAAGGTTGTCTAATGCATGTCTCCCATCAGCCATCTTGGTTGTAACATTGCGCATGTACTTTGTAACGATGTCGACTGACCAAAATAATTTATGGCTCATAACGCATATTTATGTTATGGTTCACATCATATATTTACGTTGTGATTCACAACGTATATATTTACGTTATGGCTCATAATGTATATATTTACGTTATGGTTCATAACATATATTTACGTTTTGGTTCACAACCGACATCTACGCGGTCACCCCAAAACGCAGACCATGCAGACTGCAGACTGCAGACCGCAGACCGTGCAGACCATGCAGACTGTGCAGACTGAGTACTTCTTTTTCTTATTCTTGTTTTTGCATTTACTTTTGACTCGCATATTTTTTGGTTCTGTTCAATAATATATCGGAGTGTTTGTTATCCACAGTTCGCGCAAACTCGGTGGCATGTGACTGTTGATGTGTTCTAGATTTTGCAAGGCAAACTCCCTTTAGTCCTATTTATGCTTAAGTAAAGCTATTTTAAAATGTAGAATTAAACTTCACTTGTAATGTAATGCCAAAAGTAACATGTACATTTTCTACCCTAGGTGTACAAAATGTAATTCCAAATGGCTGTTGGAGTGTGACTGCGATTACGCCAAAAAAGCCTAGCGCATGGAAAGATCACAGAAAGCCGAATAGCATTTGAAATTCTCAGCGCAGGACGGTTGCCGTGATGAGTTGATGCGATGGTTAATTTATCTGTCCTTATGGCAGTTGTGTTTTTATGGCGATTTAGACTAGGAGTGGTCTTTCTTTCGCTTAGTCCATCGTGCGTGACGCATAAGAAAACCACGAGGAAAAAATTTCATGCGAGCATTTTTTCCTCGAGGTTTACTTACAGTCATGTTCAACTTAGCGAAAGAGGAACTGCTCCTAGTCTAATGGCGATTCTGTACTTTGTGAGGCAAAAGCGATTTGTGGGACAAGGTCGCTTAGAGCCATCGTCCTTGCTTTGTTTTATGAATCAGTTAACAGGAGAACAAAAACTAAGAAAATCAAAAAAAAAAACACAAGGACAAAAAAATTGGACAAAATATATAAAACCACAAACCCGTCAAAAATTGACGCAATTTGCGCCCAGAATGTATGTTTGTTCTTTCGGGCCGTTTCTAGCTTGTTTTCTTTTTGTTCCTTTAGCCATTTTTCTTTCGTGTCAATAATTGATTGTATTGCTTGTTCTACTTGTTGTTTGTCCCTGTCCGTCCAGTCCTCTATCTTCTCGAGTGACTCGAAAGTGTCGGCTATCACGGCAACGTTTTGTGCCACCTGCCTCTCGTAGTGTTCCACGAGACATTAGTATATATATATTATTTATATTTATATTAGTATTTCTATATATACTTTATATTTATATAGTACTGTCTGCAGTTAGATAAAGCTCGCTGGCATACAAAGCTCTGCTTTCATGTCCAGTTTGAGCACTCTACTGGGATGAGTCGTTACTGTTGCAATTNTCGTAGTGTTCCACGAGACATTCCGCGAGCTGCCGTGAGCAATTACTTAAAATATCGTTCCATTTGGTTTGGAAGGTTTCGTCTTGTCGGCCTGTCGTTGATCGCAAGTCAATGGTTAATCTTTTCGGAATAATATTCTCCTCCATGCATGTCTTCAAGAATTCAATTTGTAATTTCATCCTCATGTTTTTTTCTGTTAGGGAGTACACTTTCCATCCAAGCTCTGTTGGTTTTTCCGTCGTGTGAGGGTTCCTCGCTGGATTCGCTGTTTCAATGAAACTAGCGGATGGTGTAGCATCATCCTCGCTGCTTTGCTCGCGCTCGTCCGAAGTGAATAANTGTTTGAAAGAAAATTCGCCCTGAGTGGGATTTGAACCCACGTCCCCCCGCATACTAGTCGGGTGTGATATCCACTACACCATCAGGACAACCATGCTAGCAACACGGCAATCGAAGATGTGATTTTACGTGCTATGGAACGTGGTCTCCGGGGAGATTTTCTTTCAAGGTAACAAGGTAGGGGAAACTTGTAACTCTGTTTGAAATCCAACTAAGGATCAAATTCATGATACATGACCGAAGTCAACTTAGCGGATGACAATGGAGGATCCACAAGGGATGCAGGCTACTTCTCAATTAATTTATACTGTATATAAGAGAACCTCTGACCCTGTACACCCCTTAGCGGATGAAAGAAAATTTCCCGTCACAACATGTTATTTATTTAATTGCAACCTGCAATATGTAGGCTCCACCTGGATTGAATTTAAAGTAAGATTTCGTAACCACAAGTCGAACATGGTGAAGAACAAAAGAACTTGCGAATTGGCCATCCACTTTAATAAATCTGAACATGAAATTTCTCAAATCAATTTCATCATCATTGAACAAATTAGAGGACGAGTTTAATGTACAACGTTTCGGCCGTTCGGCCTTCTTCAGGTTAAAAGTTAAAAACTAAAAAACTCTTTACAATGGTTGCGATTTACAGACTTATATACAGAGCAGAGGTCTAAATTACAAGGTCTAAATTACAAGGTGAAAAGGATTAGACAATCAAAGACAAATACAGAACTATGGGTGACATGTGAATACAAATGAGTGACAAAAACTAGAGAGAAAAAATCTAACTTAATTAGTAGTGTTTACTCTTAAGTAACGAGCTCCCCATTGAAGGCCTCTGAATGAATGTAATTAGGTAAAAACCATAACAGGATCCCAGGAAAGGGCCATTAAACTACAGTAATAATTTCCCTTCCAAAGCCCTTGAATGAAAAGCAATGAATCGAGCGTAATCGATAGTAATCAATCGATTAATATCGGAAATCGATAGAAATCGATCACTCGCGTCTTTGTGACTATCGATTTTAATCGATTTCTTTAATTAGCTATCGATTTTATCGATTTGTTCGACAACGAACGAAAAGAAAATGGACGAAGATTCTCTTTCATAAAGTTCTCAGTTTTACGCTAGAATGAGTCACAACTCACTCGAACTAATACACAGCAGTCCAAACTGAACTGATAAACATTCCCTTTACACTTTATTTAAGATTGACTATAAGATTTTTAATAAATTTTGAAACTGAAAAGGATTAAAACATAACCAACACAACTGTTGCGAAACTATCGTTTCCGTCTTCACAATTAAAGTCATGCTTGATGTTACGATATCTCGAGTCCTCTTCTCGTTCTGTTTCATATTTCAACATAAACATCCTCCATACTACAAACAAGGCAACCGTAACGCAACTGTCATTTCCGCCTTCACAAAGTAGTGCTTGTTGCAATATATCATTCACGAGTCCTATTCTCGTCCTGTTTCAAATTTCAACATTAAAAACCTCCAAACTATGTCAAACAAAGCTATCTACACAGCATTTTAAGCTTGGCAAGGCCGATTTACAATGTGCAGGCAGGAAAGCATTTGTGAATTTACTTTGGCGAATAACCAGCAGGACAATAACTCCATCCAAAGACGAAAGAACTCAGTAACAAAGAATCTGACCAAACCTAGATACAAACTATAAACCATAACAATAGAACAAACTACTTCTTGATAGAGAAGCACTTCCAAGTATAAGGATACGAGCTCAAAAAGAAAGAGCAACTGAAATAAAAGATGTAGAAGACGTTCTTTTCACTCGTCATAATAAATCAACGGGAACAAAGAGGCCTTGTGTGCAGCTGTTATGGCAGTGTGATTGGTCATCCGTATCCTCATTGTTACGATACACTGCAAAATGACAGGGTGCGTCTTGTTGACAATGACTTTCTTGCAAACCTTTCTCGGGCTTGGCGAACTTTGGCAATAAGGTCACGTTTCTTTTCACTCGCTTTATAAGTAACGTTAAGGTCGTCAAGGACTTCTTTGAGAAGGCGTACAGACATATCTTGTGGTTCTCCCATTTTCTTTTTCTTTTTCTCTTCTTCTATACGTCTCTCTTCTGCAAGTAAACGTTCCCTTTCAACTATTTCGAGCTCAGGTAAAATATCCTCTAGATGTTCAGCGTTTACAGAAACTGGCCAAACTCACACTTCGGGTACTTCGTGAAAGGTTAACAAGTGCGAGCTACATTCAGTCCATAAAATCTCCTTTGTTTTAGACAATGACCACTTCCCTACTTCTATCTTGGTTGCTGAAAGCACCAAGAGGCCAATAGAAGATTTCAGTGTTTCTTCTTTTTTGTTTTGTTTTTTCCATTGGAATACTGGAACTTCGGACTTAGCTAACGTCTTACGCAGCATTCGCAAGACTAGGCCGCACTTCGGACCAACGCGTGGAACCCAGAACGCCGCAATGTCTTCAAGATAGAGGCCAGAATCGGTCTTCTTTGGCGAAACAATTTTTTCCACTCTTTCGTAGAAGTCACTTGTCGAAACTGTCATCCAGCGAGACATTCTAGACGTTAAAGGTTGGTATACTTTACCTTGCTGAAGGGATAAAAATTCAGCTCTGTGATAATATTCCCCTTCGTACCCAACGTAATTTGGGCGTACCGTTTGGGAATTAAACTGCGAGGAACCTTCTTTGTATTGCGTTCCTCTTAACCGCTTTGAGGGTGGCTCTACCTCAGATAGCTCTTCATTTAGAATGTTACCATCCATTGCCTTTGCGGTTACTTGGTTGTTAAATATGTCTTTAACACTGTCATGCGCTTTACATACAAATGCATAGTTTTCCCTTTCAAAATCAGATGCAAATTAACTCCTAGACATGATTCGTGAAACCAATTGTCACACCCTGGATAATCGCAACCCAACCAGTGAGAATTTGCTGGTGCCCTGAAGTTCTTATCCATGTATTTGCATGTTCCCGATTGATATTAATGGCACTGACTCGGGTCATCATCATCATCCTCGTCCTCTAGCAGCTCTGCTTGGGTAGTTTTGGATGTTTGAGCGGATGCCGTTATATCTGACAGGGCATACGCTGAACTATGGTCCATTTCTTCGGCAACAGAGCACAAAATGTCACTTTCTGCCTCTATCAGTTCCTCTATCGGTATAGAATCGAGTTCATCGGGCTCAAAACCAATATCCGTTAAAGTGGATTCCATTCCTGGATTCAAGTAGGTTATTTCACCTTCCTTGTCTTTCCTAATTATGTTTCCAGCAGTTAGCAACGGCAACATACCCAATCG